CAAATATGGCACTACCTACCAAATATGGCACTACTTACCAAATATGGCACTACCCAACAAATATTGCACTGCCTACAAAATATGGCTCGTTCTGCCATGTATGTTCTGCAAACTACAGTAAACAAGTTATACCCGCACATGTTTATCTACTCCGCACATGATAATACTTACCCGTTCATATAGTTTTACAAAATCTGAATATCTTTTCTCCAATTCCCATGATTGTTTGCCATTTTTCACTCTGACGTAGTAATTCTACAGAAAGAAATGTATTCAAGGTTCTACTCCATTTACTAATCATTGGATCGCTATGCATGGATGAACTCTTCAGTACGTATCGTGTGTTGATATCGTCTCGGTGATTGGCTGAGGGGTCACAACAAGAGATCTGATTGGCCTAGATTGATCTCTAATACATTGTTCCTATAAATCGCGCCCTCTAGCGACGTAAATGAATGCACGTGCACAGTGCCGACATTGTTCTCATATTGTGAGAGATTTACTACTACACAACCAAACGTCATTTTGAACATTAGTTATACACTATTACGTCATTTGACGTCACAGACGAGTGAGTGAGCGACTCATGGGAAATATGAATAAGTTTAACTTGTTTATCAATTCAAAACAGAATGATGTCATATAAACGGAGAGCTTGGTACTGCTGTGACGACCATGAAATTGGTCACGTGCTATGGTTATATTGTTGTCCAATGGGTTCTGTTGCTATGGGTAACTAATATTCAATATTATTCTATCTGTTAGGGAGTCAGGAATTAGTTATATTACGTGATGTAAACAATTTAAACAAAACAAACAAACAAACAATAAAAAAGCAAATAAGCAATCAACAAACAATCAACCAACAGTTATTCAAAAAAATCCAATAATCAATCAATCAATTAATCAATCTACCAAATTATCCAACCAATCAATTAAACCAACATCATGAAACAATGCATAATCAATCAATCAATCGATCGACCAATCGACAATAAATCGAACAATAAGTGTACAATCGATCCAGGCATCAAGCAATCGATAAGCAATAAATCTAATAATCAAAAATCTCACCAAAATTCACTCTCAACGAACACTCTAACAACAATCCAACCAACAAACCAACCACCAATCAATCAACCATGGGAGTATGTTAGTACATTTATGAATCAAACAACAAACCAACCAACAAAGCAACCAACCATTTAACTAACTACATGAAATGTCAACGAACAAAACAATAAACTAACCATTGCAACCAACCATTCATGCAACTTGAACCAAGTAGCCATCCATTCAATCGACAAATCAACCAAAGATCTACCCAAACACAAAATAAAATGTCTAAACAAATGTGTCTTACTCAAACCGTTTTCAGGCTGTAACTTCGATTATACGACCTACCATTGCGCCCTCTTATGGCCAGTTTAAAAACGAAAGATTTTAGTATTGGTCGCTTATCCTAGAACAACAAATGAAGCAGAATCTGGCCATGTCAAGCTGGCACTCTCATTGAAATAATTTCGATTGTAGTATTATTAAACAAATATCTAAAGAGAAATTCTAAACTTCAAGCCTTCAAAAATTACCTACCGAGTCCTCAACGCAGTATTTATTTGCTTGTATATTCTGACATTGTTTCGCATGTCAAGCTGGCACTCTCATTGAAATAGTTTCGATTGTTTTATTAAACAAATATCTAAAGAGAAATTCTAAACTTCAAGCCTTCAAAAATTACCTACCGAGTCCTCAACGCAGTATTTATTTGCTTGTATATTCTGACATTGTTTCGCAATACTTATACGTGTATTTGACCCTGCCTTTCAATCGAACACATGCCGAGGCTGAGTGAAAGCATGAATTTAAAACGTGAATTGGTTTTAGCTCCACGGTGTAAGTCGGTTTTACTGTACGGTGTCTGCGCAGGTCTCTCTACTGACGTTTACCCACCATTGTGTTATCTGGTGAACCATGGCGCCATCGTATACCGATACAGGTAAC